GTCTTTCACATACAGGAAATCGTTTTTAGTGAAGTAGTTGTAATAAATTAAAATAAAGATTTGTCCATAAATATACTGAGTATTTGTTTTGAATAGTCATTGTGCAAAGAAATTTTCATGTTAAGATTAAAAGTACTTTTCCTCATCTCAAAAATCTCAAATTTCATTGGTGTAATCCCTAAAACCTCTTCAATACATTCCAAACGTTTTTTCCAGTAAAACTTTATATTCCATTTGTTATTTTCTCTGTCCTAACTCAAAATGGGATTGGTCAATTTGACTGACCTCATAACCACAAAAAAAAAAATTAAATAAATCTAGATTACTCTATTTTTCTTTCTAGAATGACTTCAAATTGTAACATGAAACTAGATTAGTTTATCCTAAGTAGCTTTAAGTTCATAACAGTATACATCTATTTATAATTAAATTTTATTGTATTATTGCCCTTTGAACTATGTCTAACTTCTGTTCGTGCCATTATAAGTTGTAAATCGCTCAGAGAATGCGCAGCTCATGTTATCTAGCTGCTGCTCGCATGTGTGACTCGTAAAACATTATTATATTATTATTATTATTTATTTTACCTAATCTAATCTTAACTAACCTAAAAAGATTCCTATTTTTACATTTTAATTACTTTTATAATAATAAATAAAGAATAAACATGAAAAACAAGAAATAAGTTACTTACCCAATCTTTTTTCTAGATGTAGGTTGTCGATTATACTTAAGCCTATATATTTTACATTAATGGTAGTAGTGCATTAAATAATGCACCAAAGAACATAAACTAATAATGTGCAAAAAGTAGACAATTTCCTCTAACTCCCAAAATATTTCTGGCTTTCTAACTATACGACAAGAGCCATTACAAATTCATCCCAGCTAGTCGTTAACTCTCCCATGGGAATGAAGCTTGAATTCTGAGTGAAATTGATGCTTATCTGTTCAGAACACAATGTTATACAATATGTCATTTGATAGATGAAAACCTTGACTTTCTACTGGTTATAGGTAATATATAATTAAACGTAAAAGAGAACTATTAATAAAGCATGAAAGAGAGGATGTGACACGAAGGTATGGTAGAAGGGGTGTAATTTTCTATTTATAGCACTGTAAGCACACAAAATTGAAGGCTATAAAAATTATCCTTCATTTGAGTAGTGACGATTCTATAAAGAGTAATTTACATTTAATTTCATACTTTTTCAAGGGGTGGTGGATAAAATAGAGAAGACAAGATGCCTAGAGAAAATATGTTACGAGTGTCACACTAGGGGAAATTTAAGATGTTTTTTAATATTGCCTTGTAGAATTACAAACATAAAACTTATATACTATTAAAATATGGATTATTGGCTACGATTTTATGCTAAATTAATTGATATAACACAAATAAAATGTAGTTTAATAAAATTGTTAATGTAAGACACTAAAATTTCTGTCATGTGTAGTGAAGGATAACCGGGGCAAAAGCGGTTAACCACGTGAAACAAGGGGGTATGTGGAGTGAAATTTTGCAAATAGAGAGCAGCACTGAACAAGAATAGCTATGTGATCAGAAATAAGGTACCTTATCGGAAACCTGCTTACTGCTAAATGACAATGCCAAAAAATCCATATGTATATGCATAAAATGCTGAACTAACGTTGGCTCTTAAAAACAATGGGAAGATGGTCAAATATAACATTGAAACAAATAATGGGATTGGCCAGATGAATCCTTAACTGTATTAAGGGTAAAAATAGTCTTTCATCACAAATGCTTCCAAAACCTTTTGCAAAAGTTTGTAAAAAGTTGAAACTTCATTTGCCTATTTAATAAAACCCATGACTGAACATATTCCAGTGCTTTATGTTTATTAGTAAATTTTCAAGAAATTATTTTTCAACATAAAAACTTTTTATTAAATGTACCTGCCTTACCAGAACTTAATAAATTTATTACTACAAATGATAGTTTAAACACTAAATTATTTGTTAATTATAAATATGGTAGTTTTTCTCTACTACTAACCTCTTGTTTCAATTTATTTAACATATCTTTAGAATCCTGTAGTTCTTCTTTAAGTTCTGTAACAGATTCAGTTTTTTCTTCCCTGAAATAAAACAAAATTTACACATCATGAAACAAATGTGTATATAATTCATGGAAGATAATAAATTTGCCTATTTTAATGTTTGGAAAATGCTACTTAAATGTTAAATGGCATTTTTGTAAAACATAATTTGAACAAATAAGCTTAACTTCAGTTGCCTAAAGTAGATGTCTATAATTTAAACTTAATTAGCAGCATTTCATTAAAAACTGATTATAAAAGTTAAATAAAATAACCTAAAAGCTCTAGTACTTTCAACAGTGGTCTCTTCTTTCTTAAAAACAAAATAAACTTTTTTCAATCTTGATGAAGTGCTCTTTTAATTAATTTTTTTTTAGTTTTACAATAATATAATCAAATAATCAAAAGTCATTCCTACCTTCTATTTAAACCACTTTAAGAATAATGATAATTATTTAAGTACAAGAATGGACTTCTTATGAATATCTAGTTTCATAGGAACTCCACTGTAAAATAAAATGGTAACAGGTACTGACATGATTTTTTAAGTAAAAGCATAATAGTATTATCTTTTTAATTAAGATTAATATTCCTGTATAAATAACTAATGCATTGATATAAAAATATGTTTCACAGTTCTCTCAAACAAAGAGCTATAGTATGTTAATGTACAACTAGCACTCATTATAAAACTTACAACTTTTGATGTATTATCCCCAGTGCCATGGGTATCCTTTACTCCACATGACACATCTTTAGGGTCTTACATTCCAAATTTATTAAACTACTTTTTGTTTATGTTATTCCATTTAAAATAGCATAAAATTTTTAGCTAATAATCCATATTTTAAAAGTATGTAAGTTTTAAGTTCTTAATTTTATAAGGCAATATTTTAAAAAATCCTGATTTCCCCTAGTGTGACACCTTTTCTCTAAGTATATTCTCTACACTATTTTATCCACCACACCTTCAAAAACTACGAAATTAAACATAAATTACTCCCTATAAAATTGTCATTGCTCAAACAAACCATAATTTTTATAGCCTTCAATTTTGTTTGTTGACAGAGCTATCAAATAGAAAAATCACATCCTTCCTGCCACACCCACCTGTCACATCCTCTCTTTTAGGATTTGTTTATAATTCTCTCTTACATTTAATTATATATTAGCTATAATCAATAGAAAGTCAAGGTTTTCATCTATCAAATGATGAATTTCATTACATTGTGTTCTGAACAGAATATCATCAATTTCACTCAGAGAGCAAGATTTGTTCCCATTAACAACTACCTTGGATGAATATGTAACAGTTCTTGTCACATAGTTAGAAAACCAGAAAAATTTTGAGAGTTAGTGAAAATTTTCTATTTTTTGCAAGTTATTAGTCAATGCTCTTTGGTGCATTATTTAATTAAATAAAAATCATTTAATGCACTACTACCATTAATGTAAAATATGTAGGCTTAAGTATAATCGATAACAGACATCTAGAAAAAAAAATGGGTAAGTAACTTATTTCTTGTTTTTCATGTTTATTCGTTATTTATTATTATAAAAGTAATTAAAATGTAAAAATAGGAACCTTTTTAGGTTAGTTAAGATTAGATTAGGTAAAATAAATAATAATAATATAGTAAAAATGTTTCACGAGACACGCACGTGAGCAGCATGTAGATAATGTAATTCGATAGCATAACACGAGCTGCGCATTCTCCAAGTGATTTACAACTTATAATGGCATGAATAGTAGTTAGACACTGTTCAAAGGGCAATAAAACAATAAAATTTAATTATAAAGATATGTATACTGTTACAACCTTAGAGTTAATGTTCAAAAATTCTGCCTCAGAACTTTCATGCAGAAAGATTAGCACATTCTAATTATATCTATGTTTTAATACAGATACAACTACTATTTCTATGTCTGTATCAATTGCATTAACTCTCTCAACACGAGCTCAATCAATTTGACCAACCACGTGACCTCTTTGTACTTATTTAAAGTCTTTATAGATTTAATACTTCTAACTTTCAATATAGTGTGTATATCTTCACAAAATTTGGCAGTCTTTCAGCTAACATTATAAGTCTTTCACATACAAAAAAATCATTTTTAGAGAAGTAGTTTTAATAAACTAAAATAAAGATTTGTCCATAAATATATTCAGTATTTGTTTTAAATAGTCCATGTGTAAAGTAATTTTCATGTTAAAATTAAAAATATTTTTCCTCATCTCAAAAATCTCAAATTTTCTTTGTGTAATCCTTAAAACCTCCTAAATGCATTTCAAACATTTGTTTTTCAGTAAAACTTTATAGTGTATCTGTTATTTTCTCTACCCTATCTCAAAACGGAATTGGTCAAATCAACCAAACTCGTAACCACCCCCCAAAAAAATTGAAATAAACCTAAATTACCCTTTTTTTTCTATCTAGAATGACTCCAAATTGTAACATGAAACTACATTCATTTATCCTAAGTAGCTCTAAGTTCATAACAGTATACATCTATTTATAATTATTTTATTTTATAATTTTATTGCCCTTTGAACTGTGTCTAACTACTATTCACACCATTATACGTTGTAAATCACTCGGGGAACATGCAGCTCACGTTACGCTATCGAATTACATTACCTACATGCTGCTCGCGTGCTTCCTTCTTGAAACATTTTTATTATGTTATTATTATTCATTTTACCTAATCTAATGTTAACTAACCTACAAGGATCCCTATTTTTACATTTTAATTACTTTTATTATAATAAATAAAGAATAAACATTAAAAACAAGAAATAAGTTACTTACCCAATCTTTTTTTTTCTACATGTCGTTTGTTGATTATACTTAAGCCTACATATTTTACATTAATGG